GCCGCCCACCCGGGCTGCCTCTGGCGTCCCCCGCCGCCGGGGCTGCCCCTCACCCTGCTGCCCCTCTCTCCCTGCAGATAAGGAAGAAGTGGAGAGGAAGCGCAAGAAAGTCCTGCCTCAGTTTCCCCAGCACTTTGGTGGGGGCGCGCACATGGGGGGTGCCGGCGGGGGGGCCGGGGGCTTCGGCTCTGGAGGAGGTGAGTGGGGACACCTCTTCCCCCTCCCTGCTCGGGCAGCCGCGGCCCAGCCCTGGGGGCTCCCCGTGCCCCTCCGGCCTCACCCCGGGCTGGCCTACAACAGCATCTACTCGTCCAGCCCCCACCCCGTGGGGGGCTACCATGGGGGTGTGCAGATGAAGGGCCCTGAGGCAGAGGGGCCCGGGAGCGACAGGCAGGCGCCTGCGGAGAGCGTGTACTGCAAGGAGCTGCAGAAGCATGGTAGGAGGGGGCTGGGCTGGAGCGAGGGCTGGGGGACATCGCTCGGGGCCGGGTGCCGCTCTCCTCTGCGCCCGGGGAGGATGCAGGAGGGTGGATGGGGCTCTGTTCCTGGAGGTGACATCCTGCTTTGCCCCCCAGCCCAGCTCTGCCAGCTGTGGATGCTGACGCTGGCCCGTCGCAATGCCCATGCCCTGCTCGACTACTCGGTCACCGCCGACCCCCGCATGCTGCTGGCGGTCCAGAGGCACCTGGCCGCATCACAGGACGAGAACGGAGACACGTGAGCGCACGAAGGGTTTGGGGGGAGAGTGTGGGAGCCTTGTTGGCCATCAGAGCCATTATGGAGGCTCTGAGGGGTGGGAGGTGGCAGAGAGGACCTGGAGAAGCATGGCGCTGAGCCAGGGGCCATCCTGCTCTCTCTGCAGGCCTTTGCACCTCGCTATTATCCATGAGCAGACGGCTGTGATCAAGCAGCTGATCGAGGTCATTGTTAGCATTCCCCGCCAGCAGATCATCAACATCTCCAACAACCTGCAGCAGGTACATGTTTCCCAGAGCAGCCAGTTCTCCTCTACCTGGGGCTCGCTTCTGTTTCCTGACCCCGGGGGCTCCCGTTGCTGCTCCTGCTGGGGGGAGGCTGCAGGGCTGAGCACAGTGCAGCCACGCTAGCAAGGACGGTGCTGCAGGACTCGGCTCCTCCTGCGAGCACTGCTGAAGGGGTGCTGCTGTCCCGCAGACGCCACTGCATCTGGCAGTCATCACCAAGCAGCCCCAAGTGGTCCAGCTCCTGCTGCAAGCCCATGCCGACCCCACCTTGTTGGATCGCTACGGCAATTCCCTGCTGCACCTGGCACTCCAGGCTGGTGATGAAGAGATGCTGAGGACGCTGCTGGCCCACCTGGGCTCGGCTGCCCCTTACCTGCTCCACCTGCCCAATTACCATGGTGAGCGGGGCTGGGAGATGATGGGTAGGAACCCGGTAGTGCTGTCGTGGGCTCGGTCGGAGGGCTGCTGAGCCTCTCCCCCTGTTGCAGGCCTCCTGCCTGTGCACCTGGCCGTGAAGGCAAAGAGTCTGGCCTGCCTGGACCTGCTGGTCAGGAAGGGAGCGGACGTGAATGCAGTGGAGAGGCAGTGTGGGAGGACCCCGCTGCACCTGGCTGTGGAGATGGAGAACCTGAACATGGCCACCCACCTGGTGAAGAAGGTACGGGGGGGCTGGTGGGTTGGTGGCTGTGGGATGGGGATGGGGTGCAGCCTCCCCTGGGGGTCCCCTGTAGTCTGAGGGGTGATTGGAGGCAGGGGGGCGGCAGCGCCCAGGCAGCCCATCCTCACAGCCTCGGGCCTTTCTTCGTAGCTGGGAGCAGACGTCAACAGCCGGACTTTTGCCAGGAACACCCCCCTGCACCTGGCTGCCGGCCTGGGCTCCCCCACCCTCACCAAACTGCTCCTCAAAGCTGGTAAGGCACTGCCCTCCCTCCCCTCCCGCACCCCCGGCTGCCCGTGCTGGGGAGTCCCCGGGCACAGAGCAGACCCCTGCGCCCTGGGCCGACCTGCCCTTTTGGGGGCTCAGTTCACCCTTCCCTGACAGGGGCAGACATGATGTGTGAGAACGATGAGCCCATCAGCCCATCCTCGTCGGAGGCCAGCAGCGACACGGATGCTGACCCCGAGGAGCAGGAGCTGGCCATGGAGCTGGGGGAGCCGGCCCCAGCCGTGGTGCACGGCACCAACCCCAAGCCCCCTGCGCAGGGGCACGGGCAGGCAGGGCACAGGCAGCACCGCTGCCACACGCCCCTGGACCTGACTCGAAGCCAGAAGGTGCGTTGCACGGGGGGTCAAACCCCTGGGAGCGTTTCCACGGGGGCCATGTCAGGGATGGGGCAGAGCTCCAGGAGATGCTCCTGCGAGGATGCCTGTGCCCCGCCGTGTCCTGGGGAGAGCCAGGGCATGGGGAGGCGGGGTGCATTCGCCGGTGCTTTGGGGAATGCTCACATCTGTGTGTCCATCCTGCAGGTGCGGGAGACCCTGCTGCAGGCCTCCCAGCAGGGCCCCGAGGTGGAGCTGCCCGCTGCCCCCTGGCCAGGTGAGCAGCCCTTCTCCCCACGAAAGCACTGTGCCCGGGCAGGGCAGGACCCTCCTGGCAGCGGGGATGGGCAGCACATGATGGAGGCACCTCTCCCACGCAGGGAAGGTCCTGTCGCTGGACAGTGAGGCGCTGCAGGGGCTGGAGCAGCTGCTGAACCAGGACTGCAGTGGGTCGGACTGGATCGAGCTGGCCAAGCGCCTGGGGCTCTGCAGCCTGGTGGAGACCTACAAGGACACCCCCTCGCCCAGCATCAGCCTCCTGCGCAGTTACGAGGTCAGTGCCCGGCTGGGGTGCCCCTGTCCCCCCTGCCCGTCCGGCTACCGGCCCTGCTCAGTGCCCTCTCTCTGCAGCTGGCGGGGGGCAGCCTGGAGGGGCTGCTGGAGGCGCTGGACTCCATGGGGCTCCACAAGGCCGTGAGGATGCTCCACAAAACAGAGGCGCTGGAGAAGCTGCAAAGCACAGGTATGGGGAGTGTGGGGCTGGGGAGGGTCCCCGCTGCCCCCCAACCCCCCCCATCGCTGACAGCACCCGGGGCTTGCTTTGCAGAGCTGAAGGAAGACAGTGCCTATGGCAGTGAGTCGGTGGAGGAGGAGCAGGCGCCTGTGCTGGCCCTGAAGCCGGGGCCGGGGGGTGAGCTGCCCCACAGCCAGCAGCCGCAGGGGCACCGAGGGGCGCGGACCCACGCAC